TAATGAGTTAAAGGTTTTGACTAGTTAGTTATCCGAAAATTTAGGAACTTAGATTGGCAATGGTGATGGATAAGGTCGGTTTCACAAATTCTTGAAAAATCGGTTTACTCTATAAATTAGATGAAGATGACTATCACTTTTAAATTTTTTAAAGAAATGAAATTAAAATCACCAATCATATAGGAACGTAGGAAGTAACGCGAGTTAATTAAAATATTGTAGTTGATTAAAATATAGTAGTTGGAAATATTAGTCATAAAATATTAATCATGAACATAGGTTACATGAGCAAAATAAAATACTTATAATTATTATTAATAAGTATGTACTTATAAAATTATATATGTATATAATTATGTATTGTCACAATCTATCCCCCTTAAAGATAGATTCCTCCTCGAATCTTGAATCATATAGTGGAACATTCTAGCTAGAGTGATGTTATTTATATGCATGATCGTAAATAAAATGACCATAAAAGTAAAATTCACCCTCCTAAAAAAGGGGTTACGTCCCCGTAATTCAATTAAGTACCTTATCAGGGTATCTTTGCTTCATGGTGTCTTCTGCTTTCCATGTAGCTTCTTCGGTTTGGTGGTTTGACCATAAGACCTTTACAATTTTAGCCTCCTGATTTCATGTTTTTCTAACTTTCTCATCTAGAATCTTTATGGGTTTTTCTTCATAATTTAAAGTCTCATCTATTTCTACAACCTCAGGTTGAATTACATGTGAAGGGTCATGGACGCACTTCTTAAGTTGAGAAATGTGAAAAACATTGTGCACCTTAGATAACTCTGTTGGGAGAGCCAATCTATAAGCAACTTCCCCAACCCTTTCTAACACCTCATAAGGACCAATGTATCTCGAACTGAGCTTCCCTTTCTTGCCAAATCTCATGACACCTTTGGTTGGGGACACTTTCAGTAGCACCTTTTTGCCTACTTCAAAGGCGACTTGATCCGCATAAGATTTTTAGGGATCCTAGGCAGCCTTCATCCTTTCTTGAATTATTCGAACCTTCTCAATTGTATCATGCAAATATTCAGGTCCCAATACCACCTGATCACTCATGTCACTCCAGCATAAAGGGCTTCTACATTTTCTTCCATGCAATGCTTCATAAGGAGCCATGCCGATGCTTGCATGGTAACTATTGTTATAAGAAAACTCAACCAAGTCTAATTTTTCTTCCCACGACCCCCTAAAATCAATGACACATTCTCTCAAGAGGTCTTCTAGGGTATGAATGGTCCTCTCAGTTTGACCGTCTGTTGCAGGGTGGAAGGCTGTACTAAGCTTGAGTTGGGTCCCAAATGCTTGTTGCAATTTCTCCGAAAATTGTGATAGAAACCTAGAGTCCCTATCAGAAACAATGTCTCTTGGCACTCCATGATGCTTCACAACATTCTTTACATACGCTGCAGCCATCTGCTCCATAGACCACGTATCCTTCATAGGAATGAATCTAGTAGTTTTAGTCAATCGATCCACTACAACCCAAATGGCATTCTTTCTTGTCTTGGTTAAGGATAAGGCAGTTACAAAATCCATATAGATCGAGTCTCACTTCCATGTCGGAATATTCAATGGTTGAAGTAACCCTTTAGGCTTGCTCCTCTCAGCTTTCACTTTTTGGCATGTCATACACCTAGAGACAAACTCTGCTACCTATTTCTTCATCCTCGGCCACCAAAAATGTTGTTTAAGGTCCTTGTATAGCTTGTCGCTCCCTGGATGTACTGAATATGGTGTGTAATTCCCCTCCTCTAACAATTTCCTTTTAACCTCTTCACAGTGCAAAGGTACACACCAGCGACCTCTATAGCTAATGCTACCATCATCATGAACCTTAAAGGGCCTTAATTCTCTATTCACCATCTTAGATTTTATTCTTTTAAGCTTCACATCATCAGATTGTCTATCCTTTATCTGCTCGGATATTGTAGGGGTAATTGACATTGCATAAAGTTGTATCTCGGATTCTACCTCCCCATATTCCTTAACTTCCAAGTTCAACTTTGAGAATTCCTTGCATAACTTATCAGGAAGCACCCATATAGCATTTATTGAGTGGCTCGGCTTTCTACTTAATGTGTCAGCAACTACATTGGTCTTGCCCTCATGATACTGAATGTGGAGATCATTATCTTTGAGACGTTCCAACCATTTTCTCTGCCTCATATTCAACTCTTTCTGTGTGAAGATATACTTAAGACTCTTATGGTATGTGAATATCTTACAAGTAACTCCATACAAATAGTGTCGCCATATCTTTAGTGCAAATATAATTACGGCTAACTCCAAGTCATGAGTGGGGTAATTCTCTTCGTATGACTTCAATTGTCTAGAGGCGTAATCAACAACTCTCCTGTTTTGCATAAGGACACATCCCAATCCTTTCTTTGAAGCATCAGTAGAAACCTCGAACCCTTTATCCTCAGATGGTAACGTCAACACAAGGGTCGTTGTTAATCTTTTCTTCAACTCTTGAAATGACTCCTCACACATCTCATCTCACTGAAATTTCGCTGTCTTTTTCATGAGGTTAGTAAGGGACCTTGCAATCCTCTCCTTCACAAACCTTCGATAATAACCAGCTAAACCCAGGAAGCTACGAATCTCAGTTACATTAGTGGGTCTTGGCCAATTCATTACTGCTTGAGTTTTAGAGGGATCTACAGAACTCCAATCCTTCGAGATGATATGACCTAAAAAGGCGACCTCTTTCCTCCAAAAGTCTTGACAAATTTGCATACAACTTCTTTTCTCTCAAAGTTTCCAAAACTACACGCAAATGTTGCTCATGATCCTTAGGGGTTTTGGAATACACCAAGATGTCATCAATAAATACAACAACAAATTGATCAAGATAGGGTTTGAAAACTTGGTACATAAGGTCCATAAACACTGCAGGGGCATTAGTCAACCCAAATGGCATGGCTGTAAACTCATAATGGCCTTAACGTGTCCTAAAAGCTGTCTTTGGTATGTCTTTCTCCACGATCTGCAATTGATGATATCCCGATCGAAAGCCTATCTTAGAGTAAGTCCCGACACCTTTCAATTGGTCAAAGAGGTCATCTATACGGGGCAATGGGTACTTCTTGACAGTGACTTGGTTCAGTTCTCTATAATCAATACACAACCTCAAACCTCCATCTTTCTTTTTCACAAATAACACCAGGGCTCCCCATGATGATACACTAGGTCTAATGTATCCTTATACAAATGTTCTTCTATTTGTTCCTTGAATTCCTTCATTTTCACAGGGGCCATACGATAAGGTGCCTTAGAGATAGGTGCAGTTTCTGGAATCAAATCTATGGTGAACTCAACTTCTCTCTCAGGAGGCATCTCAGGAATATCCTCGGAAAACACATCAGGAAACTCCCTAACTACTGGGATTTCATCCAATTGACTCACTTTCATCTCTAAATTTTGAATTTGACACAAAAAGGCTTCACATCCTTTTTTAAGGTATTTATGCATGGTCAAGGTTGATATAATTTTTACTCCAGGTTTAACCACAATACCTTGATAGGTGATTCTATTGCCTTTTGGCCCTCTCAAAGCAACTTTTTGATCATGACATTTATACGAGCCCTATATTTCCCCAACCAATCCATGCCTAGAATAACATCTAAGTCATCCAGGTTGAACTCTATATGGTCTCCTGGAAGATTAGTCCACTAATATTTATTGACACGTCCTTATAAAGTTTTTTACATGCCACTAGCTCCCCAGTTGGAATAGATATCTGAGTAGAAATATGAGAAAAAGGTTCTAAACCTAGCTTCTTAATTAGGGAAGATGATATAAATGAATGAGAAGCACCAGAGTCAAAAAGCACTTTAGCTTCTCCATTAGCCCGAGCTTGGTTCATAACAAATATTCTTCCTCGGTTACCATTATTCCCTTGACCGCCAATGCTATTTGGAGTAGACGAAGTCTTGTTGATGCCATTTTGAGTAGCTTGGTTCTTAGAAGAATTCCCTTGGTTCCCAGCATTAACTTGCCTCCCTTGCCCTGGACCTTGTTGACCTCCATTGTACTTATGGTAGCACTCAAATTCCTGGTGTCCCCATTTCTTCTCCACCACAGGGTAATCAAGCAGGAGTGAATGGAGGGCAAGAGGAAGGAAAGCTAATGGACAGGGTAACCTATTGTTGATAGTTCCATTATGGAAATTCCAAATCCAAATCCAACCCCAAATCCAATTACAATTGACATTTCATCTGATGATGAGGAAGATGAAGAGTTCATTCAAGTAGAGCAAAATCCAGAGACACCTGAACCAATGGAGGAGGAAGATGACCCTGAATACGATCCTAGAAGCTATAAACAATCGAAGGACAAGAAGGACAATGTTCGAAAGGACTAGATTTTTGTAGTTTCATTTCCGCAGTTTTAATTAATTCCTTTGTCAGTAAAGTAATAAGTGGCATGGCCATAGTGAGTCAATAAACCTATTGAGTTACGTAGGTTATTCGAACACATTTCATTTCATCTTTCTATTCATTTTCTTACTCAGCAATAAATTTTTTATTCATTTCCTAGCCAAATAATTCATTTTACTGCCAAAAAATTCATTTCATTTCCAAATCATTCATTTCATATCACTACATCAATGGCCATTTCTTGCTCAAATATCCCAATAATTCATTTCTAAACTCTAGGAAATCATGGGAATTATTCTTATTTATTATTGTGATGCTTTATTAAATGTATGGTTAGTTAGCAATCAAAATTTAGTTGATCAAGCTGCAATTTTGGGAATTTTTATTTTGCAATCTCAATTTGTTACACTAGTAGAAAAAATGAAATAGGCACCGTAAAATGCGCACCGTTTTTTAAAAATCGGTGCGAAAAATAGTAGGCAGGATTGAGGGGAAGACTTTTCACACCGGTTTGGTTCGAACCGGTGGGAAAGCTATTATTAAAAAAAAGGGCCTTATCTTCTTTCTTTCTCTTTCTTTCTCTTTCTTTCTTATGTATTTCTCTTTCCTCGATCTCTCCTCTTCTCTCATCTGCCTCTCACAGTCTCTCTCATCTACAACAATGGAACCTCAAACTCCTTCTCTCTCCTTCGATCTCCTTCTCCATAACCGCCGCTTTCCCTTTCCTTTTCTCTCTCCTTTGATCTCCTTCTCCATAACTGCGCCGCAAGCAACGCCGCTCTCCTTCTCCTTCTCAGTCTGAAATCGACCGCCGTCAATTTGAACCAAATACAACAACAACAACAAACTTGAATCAATTATCATTTCAAAGATCACAAATTCGAGGTATGTGCTCTTCGATTTGAAATCTAGGTTTTATGAACTTTTTTTTTTTTTTTTTTTTTTTTTTTTTTTTTTGATTTTTGGGCGTTTGAAATCTAGGTTTTATGATTTTTTATTGTTTTTGATTAATGATGAACAATTGAAATTTTGAATGCAATTAGGGTTGGTGTGTGAACATCAAATAGTTGAATTTCAATTTTGGGCGTTTGAAGGCGTTGTTCAGGTTGATGCGAAGCCATGGTTCCGTTTGAATACAAGTCGTATTTGGATTCCAAAACATTGTAAGTGTAAATTCGATTTGCTTTGTTGAATGGGATAATTAGTTGAAGGTTTATATTGTTGAAGGTGTATATGTGTGTGTTAATTTATTTAGGGTTGGTTTATGAGTTGATTGATTGCATTAATTTGGTTTATGTGTGTGGGAATTCAGCTTATTGTCTATTAAGAAATTGTCTGAGGTTGTTTTACTGGAATCACATTAGGTTTAGTTATTTGGATTATTTGCTTGGGAAAAATCTTGTCTTTCTTCAGGTATAATAATTTACACTGCATTTTTATTTTATTTTTCAGATTTTTTTGCAGAAAATTTCATAGATTAGTGTTGAAATATTTTATTTAATTACTTTATGATAGGGTTGTGACTTTGTTGAATGATGCTGAAACCCCATGTTTTATTTTTATAAGTAATTTTAAATGGGGTTGTGTTTCCGTTGTGATTCATGTGGAAATCTGAAAAAAAAAAAAAATTAGTTTTTGTGGGTTTTTGTTAGGTATAACATAGAAAAAAAATTAAGTCTTTTTTTTTATTTTTTATTTTTAAATCTAACTTATGGTGTGGATTTTTTCTATATTTGTATGATTTATGCTTAATATTATTAGTGTGGGTATAATTTATTAGGGAAAATGTTCGCTTTTGATTGATGTTGATAATAATATTTTAGTAGGGTGTGGAGGAGTGTCTACTGTTTGAACAAAACCTTAATTACTCAAATGCACCAAGTGATACTATTTTCACCCTAAAAGGCGGCTCATCTCTTGTCCCTCTAAGCATGACTGTTCCATTAATATGTTTCCCTTCTTGGTGGTCCTTAGCCTTCATATCCCCTTGGTAAGTTGGTTGATGCTCAGATCAGTTACAGTCTCTGTTCAGTAATTATCTGTATTTATAGCTTATCTTATTCAGGCTACTCTTTTGTGTTTCACCTCCTAGGGATGTTATTCTTCTGGTTCTAACTAGCACATTTTCAGGATGATCTAGCTTTCAAGTTCGAATATGTGCATCCAATATCGATGGTGTATGTATATAGTCCCAAAAACCGCACTTTCCGAACAAGCTGCTTCAATAGCAGAAAGCTGAGTCCTGTGTTTACTGGTGGCATAGGACTGGATGAAGTTCCTCCTATCTGGGTTGATAGGTCTGGTGTGAAAGCTAATATTACTGAGGTTGGTACTTGATTCTAAATTTGACTTTGCTAGCCTAGTTCTATATTGTTTCTTCCTCTCATATTAGTCATATTTGTTACAAAATGATGTCAGTTTTGCAGAATCTTACCCGGCAGAGCAAGCTTACTTATGGGCTCGTGGTTGAAGAGATAACAACACGAGATGAAAGCAGCCATATCGCCATAGCTGGTCAAAGGGTGTTGCCTAAGGGCGGAATTAGTGCTGATGGACCCCCAACAACTTTAAGCGATACTGGTATTGACCGAGTGGCATTCTTACAAGCAAATATTACACGAGATAACACAAAGTTTGTAAATGGAGCTATAGTTGGTGATAGAAATGTGTTTCAGGTAACTTTTGTGTCCTTCCTTTTTTATCAGATTTTTTCTTTAACTTTTTTTGTTTTGGTTATTGACAGGTAATTACAAGGGAGTCACTATTATTAGCACAGGTAATTATTTTTTTTGTATTTGTTCTGTTAGTTATAAATGTTACTTACTAATTGTAGATATGTTTATCTGTTTATTCAGAAGGAGGATTTGCGGAGGGTGATGGACCTGTTATTGGTTAAAGAACACCATGCTCGGACTTTGTTGATTTGTTATCATTGGAACGTCGATAGGTTATTTACTGTGTTTGTTGAGAAGGGTAAAGCTTACTTATTTGCTGAAGCTGGAGTCACGGTGGTTGAACTTGAATATGATGCTTGCGGCTTATTACCTTTTTCAACTCTCAATTGTAATGTTTGCATTGAGGATGTTCCTTGTAATGAGACAACGCGGATGGATTGTGGGCATACTTTCTGCAATAACTGTAAGTACTTTATTGTAGATCGTAATGCACCTCCTGCATCATATGTATTTGAAGTATTAATGTTTGTACTTTGTATGTGATGAGTTTACGCCATTAATTACCGTTCTTAGATAAGGTAGCATTGGTTAGGGTATGTAGATGGATTATTAATTGTAGTGTGTTTTGATTCAGGTTTAGTAGAAGATAATACAGATAGCAGTGTAAGTTTGTTGAGTCACATTTAGATGCCATGACCTTTTTTTTAGTGTAGTATAACCTGGTCAACTGTAACTATTAGTCGCGTCTGGTGAGCAATGATTCCACTGGCTTGGATGTTTTTAGTGTGACCAGTTTGTTTTTAGTGGGCTTAGAACTTCTTTCGAAATACCTGAGGCTGCATTTTTTTGGTAAACTTTGACCATCATACAAGTTCTATATGTGTAGAAAGATAATTGTATCACTTGTAGAGCTCAAATGGAAAACATCAGTTCCGTCTTATGTATGATTGAACTATGATGCTAGATTTATCAAGTTCATGTGTTTGAAGAGCTAACAAAGGCTTTTCTCTGCTTTCAGAGACAAACATTCCTGTTAAAAAAAACTATTTTATGGATGTTTTAATTCACTCAAAGATAGATATAGAAGAAGGAAAACATTGAACTTTGGAAATTAGAGAGTTTTAATGTTTAAGTTTTCGTCATGGTATTCCTATGCAAAATTGAACCAAGTTTTTTGCTTACTTTGTTATTGCGATTGTTTAGGAATACAGCAGAGCAGCCAAACCAGCAAGCAACACAGCACTACAGCAGAGCAGCAAACACCAAGCACAGCCTGACCAGAGCAGAACAGAAACACAACAGCTCAAGAACTCAAACCAGTCACCCAGCCAGCCTGAACATAACAGAGACACAACCACAGAAGCAAACAGATGCCCCACCAGCCTGAACAGGACAGAGGCACAGCAGAACAGAAACAGCTGCACGTCAAACAGTAGAGCAGCCTGTCAGCCTGAACACACAGCAGCCAGCAGAGCAGCCACCAGCACAAGACCAGGACAACTCCTTTTGGAACTCAGACAATATGCTGTTCTTGAGCCCTTGCAGCCACTTACAATGCTGTCTTGTCCATTTTTAATGAAAATATATAACTTTGTATATAAGTTAGTGTTTATGTGTCCATTTTTTTTTTTAGTTTTTTAAAGTGTAGTATTATAAGTTATTGAATAAAATATGTGTTTTATGTATATTATGATTATATATAAGTATTTGGTACAATTTAAGTGAAAAATGCAAAAAAAAAAAATTATTTTTGTGGGCATTTTTGGTACCGGTTTTGGAAAAGAACCGATGCTAAACGTTTTTTTTTTAATATTTTTTAGCCACTTTTCGCACCGGTTCAAAGAAAGAACCGGTGCTAAAAGTGTGGTTTTTGCACTGGTTCTCACCCAGAACCGGTGCGAAAAACCTGATTTCGCATCGGTCTTGAACCGGTGCGAAATATCTGGGGTTTTAACACCCCCAAAATCAGGACCGGTTCAAAACCGGTGCTAATTGGGGGTTTTGAACCGGTGCAGATTACGTGTTTTTGCCTAGTGTTAGCTTAAAAATTAAATGTGTGTGTATGAAAGGTATAAGTTAGTTAGATGGGTGCATAACTTGAGAGCTAACCATGACCATAATTAATAAAGACCCCTTGTTTTAATTCAGGCGAAGAAAGTGAGAGCAATAATGAAGGGAATGAGCTGAGTGAGGTTGTAAGACAGTTAGCAAAGGTCGCCCAATAGTTAACAAGAAACTCGACCAACAATGGGGATGCTCAGGGAGAGCTGTTTAAGATGGTGGCGCAAAGCAAGCCACCAACCTATCAAGGCGAACCTGATTCAACAATTTGAGAAACTGTTTGGGGTAGTAGGGTGCCCAGAGAATTCGAAAGTAGGTTGTGCTACCTATTACCTCAGGGGTGAAGCTGACCTTTGGTGGCAACAAAATGAGGCTACTATTAAGGCATTACCTGGGTTTAACTGAACTATGTTTCAGGAGAAGGTTAGGGACAAGTTTTACCCTAGCTTCCTATAGAAACAAAAAGCTGAGGAATTTTCCAACCAAGCAATGAGAGGTATGTCAGTCACGAAATACTATACCAAGTTTATTGAGCTGTCACGATTTGTCAAAGAGTCTGTTGCTACAGAAAAGGAAAAGGCTAGGAAGTTTGAGAGTGGATTGACCACTGATTGTAGCTAAAGCTGGGTGGACAAGTGCTCGAAACCTTGGATAAAGTGTATGGGAGGTCTGCACACCTTTATGCGTTGAAGTTGAAGAAAAAGAAAGAGTTAGCGGAGGTGGAAGGGAAGGAAAAAAGAAAAGAGATAAGGCAAAACTTTGGAAACCCGCAAGGTAACCAGACAACTTCAAGAAGCAGAAGTACCACCATAACAACAACAGTAACTTCCTGAGTAACAATCGCCAAGGTGGGTGAAACTTTAATAGAGGAGCTAAGAGCTCTAACCAGGGAAATAACAAAGGACCAAGGCATTATTACTGCAAAAGGTGTAGAAATGACCACCCTGGTAGAGACTGCGATGGTAACTTGTCGCGCTTGCAACAAGTTGGGATATAGGGAGTACGAGTGCTTCTCCAAAGATTCTAATCGAAATAAGCAGGGCAATAATCAAGGAGGGGTTCAAAAGAACTTTCAGGGGAACAACAACTATTCAGGGAATAAAGGGGCACAGCAGACTGGGGTGAAAGGCAACAATAATAGGAATAATCAGGTGAAAAGTGGAGCTCCAGGAAAACTGAATGTGATTAGTAGGCACGAAGCTAATACTACGAAGGATGTTACTACTGGTACTTTTTCTGTTAAAGTTTTGTTTGATTTTGGTGTAACTTTTTCTTTCATTTCAAAAACCACTGTTTCAAAGTTATCACACTGTCTGAAAACCGTAGGTGACATAGATGTACCCATAGTTATTCCTACAGGAGGGGTAGTATAGTGTACCAAAACTTTTAAAAATGTGCCACTAGAAATCAAGGGATAGGTATTTTTGTCTGACCTCATCGAGTTTGGGTTAAGTGATTTCGACGTTATTTTGGGAATGGATTGGTTGAGCAAGTATAGTGCAGAGATTTGTTGCCGCAGAAAGTACAGATAAGTACAGCTGAGGGTAAGTTGGTAAAATATTAGAAGCATGGTGAAACAAAGTGCCCAAGGATCATCTCTATAATGAAGTTGGCTAAGTATATTAAGAAGGGGCATCTAATATATTTTTGTAGTGTGAGGAATTTAGAACATGAAGAGGCAGCTAAGCCTGAGGACATAGAAGTGGTGAACGAGTTTCTAGAAGTGTTCCCAAAAGATATTCCAGGAATGTCACTTAAGAGGGCAATTGATTTCACAATAGAGTTGGTCCTAGGGACAACACTGATTTCCAATGCACCATATCGAATGGCACCTATAGAAATGAGAGAATTAAAGGAGCAACTGTAAGATTTGTTAGAAAATGGGTACATTAGACCAAGTGCTTCGCCTTGGGGAGCTCCAGTGTTTTTGTTAAGAAAAATGATGGTAATATGAGGTTATGTATTAATATAGGGAGTTGAATAAGGTCACCATAAAGAACAAGTACCCATTACCAAGGATCGATGATCTATTTGACCAGTTGAGGGGCGTGTATGTATTTTCCAAAATTGATTTAAGGTCTGGATATTGTCAGTTGAGGATCGCAGACGAAGATATTCCCAAGACTACATTTAAACAAGGTATGGGCATTATGAGTTCACAGTAATGCCATTTGGGTTGACGAATGATCCAGCAATCTTCATGGACTTGATGAATAAGGTGTTCCATCCTTTTATGGACAAGTTTTTCATTGTGTTCATAGATGATATACTGGTTTACTCAAAGAATAAGGAGGAACATGTAGAACATTTGAGGGAAATTCTACAAACCTTAGGAAAACAAGCTTTATGCGAAGTTTTCCAAGTGTGAGTTTTGGTTGGAGAAAGTATCTTTTCTGGGTCACTTTGTGTCCAAGGATTGGGTAGAAGTAGATCCAACAAAGATTGAGGCAGTGAAAGAATGGCCTATGCCAAAGACGGTGTCTGACATTAGGAGTTTCTTAGGTTTAGCAGGGTATTATAGGCGTTTTGTGAAGGAATTTTCTAAGATTGCTAAGCCTATGACCTCTCTAATGTAGAAGGACAAGAAATTCGAGTGGGATGAGAAGTGTGAGGAAACGTTTCAAATCTTGAAGCAAAAGTTGATTACATCACCAATACTTTCATTGCCTAATGATAGTGGAATCTATGATGTATATAGTGATGCATTCAAGAATGGTTTAGGATGTGTGCTTATGCAAAATGGGAAAGTGATTGCATATGCATCAAGACAGTTGAAACCTCATGAAGTAAACTACCCTACTCATGACTTAGAATTAGCCGCAATCATTTTTGCACTAAAGATTTGGAGGCATTATTTGTATGGGTAAAATGTAGGATTTACACAGACCATAAAAGTTTGAAGTACATCTTCACCCAAAGTGATCTAAACTCACGCCAAAGGAGATGGTTAGAATTTGCAACGAACTACGACTTGGACGTACAATACCATGAAGGGAAAGTAAATGTAGTTGCAGACGCTCTAAGTCGTAACACCAGTCATGGACTGAACACTTTGATAGTGGCTGATGAGTTGTGTAGGGAAATAAGGAAAATGAATTTAGAAGTGGTAGAATGGGGAGTACCAACGAGTATACTTGCGAATCTAAGAATTCAACCAACAATATTGGATGAGATAAGGGAAAATCGGGCAGGAGATGTTACGTTGGATAGGATTCGTGAGAAAATCAAGCAAGGAAAGGCTACAGATTTCAAAATTCATGAAGATGGAAGTTAAAGGTACAAAGGTAGATGGTGTGTACCATAAAAATGTGAGGAAGTAAAGAGAAAATTAATGAAAGAAGGTCACAATACACCATACTCAGTACACCCAGGAGGGGATAAGCTATACAAATACTTGGAAATGATGTATTGGTGGCCTAGAATGAAGAATGAAGTTGCGGAATTTGTAGCAAAGTGTCTAACTTGTCAAAAGGTGAAGATAGAGCACAAGAGACCGCAAGGAACCGTACAATCATTAGAAATTCCTTGATGGAAGTGGGATTGCATTTCGTGGATTTTGTGACTTGCCTCCTAAAGTCAAAGAGTGGAAATGATACCGTTTGGGCTGTGGTGAATAGGCTTACTAAATCTGCAGTGTTCATACCAATGAAGGAGACCTGGAAGATGGAGCAACTTGCAAAAGCTTACATCAAGAATGTTGTGAGGTTACTTGGAGTTCCAAAGGACATTATGTCTGATAGAGATTCTAGGTTTCTTTTAAAGTTCTGGAAGAGCGTGCAGGAAAACTTTGGTACAATACTAAAGATAAGTACAACATTTCACCCTGCCACATATGGACAAATTGAGATAACTAACTATTCAAACCTTGGAAGATATGTTGAGAGCTTATGTCATAGACTTCCAAGGGGGATGGGAAGATAACTTGGACTTATATGGAAGCATTGGCATGGCTCTATTTGAGGCATCATATGGAAGGAAGTGTCGTAGTCTTGTATGTTGGAACGACATAAGGGAAACAATGATCTTAGGGCCACAATTGATTGAAGATACAGTTAAGCAGGTAAAAGTGATTCAAGCTAAGATTCAAGCAGCACAAGATCGTCAAAAGAGTTATGCAAATTTGAAGCGTAGGGAAGAAGAGTTTGAAGTTGGTGACAAAGTATTGTTGAAAGTATCATCAATGAAAGGTGTCATGAGATTTGGGAAGAAAGGAAAACTTAGCCTAAAATATATTGGTCCATATGAAATATTACAGAGGATAGGCAAAGTAACTTATAGGTTGGTCTTACCTATGGAACTAAGTAAAGTGCATGATGTATTTCATGTGTCTCTGCTAAGGAGGTATATACCTGATAAGTCACATGTGCTACAACCTAAAACAATTGAATTAGATCAAAACTTAACTTATGAGGAAAGACCTGTCAAGATCCTTGACAGTAAAGTGCGTAGTACACGCAACAAGGAAGTTAAGATTGTTAAAGTGCTATGGTCTAACCAAGAATATGAGGAAGCAACTTGGGAAGCTGAGGACGAGATGAAAAAGAAATACCCTGAGTTGTTTGAGGTATGTTGAGTTACGGGGACGTAACTCGTTTTCTTTAAGGGGGGTAGAATGCGGTAGAATTTCGCTCTTTTCCCCTCTATTTTCAGTTATTTTAGTGCTTTTTGCACATTTTTAACAGTTATTACAAGTACTTTCGATTTCAAGAAGACATTAAGGTAAAAGTATGTCAAAAGAATACATCAATATTATACAAAGTGAGGAAAAAGTTTGATTTTCGTTACCCAAGTTTTGGGACGAAACTTCTTTTAAGGGGGTAGACTGTAATACCCCATATTTTAATTTTAATTATTATTTTATAAAGTATTTAATTAATTCAAAATGAATTATTTGTGGTATTTTATTAATTTAAAAAGGTTTATTTTTAATTAAAGGTCCACTTTTATTTATTTAATTATTATGGAAATATTTTATTTTATTTAAAAAATAAATTATAAAAGAAAATTTAAAGTCAATGGTATTTCACTACTAGAAATAGGCCGTTTTCCGAGGGAATCGTTCCGACGGACCTAAATTCCGTCGGAAAATTCGAACTTTCCGACGGAATTAGGGTCTATCGGACAATTTCGTCGGAAAAGGTACGTTACAACGGAAAATCCGTCAGAATTATTGCGACGGAAATTAATTCCCTCGTAACAATAGGCTTTCGACGGAATATTCCGTCGGAAAGTTAACTTTCCAACAGAATATTCCCTCGGAAAACCCAAATAAAATCCGTCGGACAATTTCCGACGAATTTGGAATTTTCCTACGGAATATTCCCTCGGAAAACCCAAATAAAATCCGTCGGAACGTTCTAATATATATATATATAAAACCGATCTTTCTTTGTTTCCTTTTCTCCTCTCTTCTCCTCTCCTCTTTCTCTCTCTTCTCCTTCTCTGCTTTTCCTCCTTCTCCTCCCCCTTCGTTTCTCTCTCCTCCTTCTCCTTTCGTTCCTCTTTCCTACTTCTCCTTCCCCTTCGTTTCTCTCTCCTCTTTCTCCTTCCCCTTCCCCTTCGTTTTTCAAAGCCACGAACCAACGCCGTTGCGCAACCACGAACCACCACCGCCTTCTAATGGTTTTTCAAAGAACAAATTAAGGTTTTTCATGTCAAATTCGACCATGAAAACCCTATATCCAGAGTTTTCATGGTCAAATTTGACAATACAAGGTAAGTTCTCTTATTTTTTTCGGCTTTATTACTTTTTTTTTTCTTCTGATTTTTCGTGTTTTAGTTTTGTTTTTTCGGCTTTTTTCGTTTTTTTTTTCTTCTGATTTTTCGTGATTCTTCTTATTCAAGCCTTTTTTCGTTTTTTTTTTCTTCTTCTGATTTTTCGTGTTCTTGATTTATTTTCGGCTTTATTCGTTTTTTTTTCTCTGATTTTTCGTGTTTTTGATTTTTTTTTTTATTTTGATTTTGTTTTTGATTTTGATTTTGGATTTTGATTTTTTCTGATTTTGATTTTTTTTTTTTTTGGAATGTGGTTTAGGTGGGTGGGTAGATCTGGGTATTCGGTGGTGGGTTGTAGTGGTGGTGGGTTGTGGGTAGTTGTGGGTTAGGGGGGTTTCGTGGGTGGGGATCTGGGTTGTGGGGGTAGGGGATGGGTTGGTGGGTGGGGATCTGGGTTGTGGGGGCAGGGGGTGGGCTGGTGGTGGGGGTGGTGGGTGGGGATTTTTTTTTCTATTAAATTTTCCGACGAAAATTTCCGGCGGATTTGACCGTCTGAAATTTCCGACGGACTTTCCGGTACTGGAAAACACTGTTCCGACGAAAAAATTCCGTCGGAAAACATTGTTTCGACGAAAAAAATTCCATCGGAAAACATTGTTCCGACGGAAATGGCCGTTTTTCCTACAAAGGGTCTTCCGACAACACGTTTCGACGGAATTCAGGGTGTTTCCGACGGAATTTATCCGTCGGAAATGACCTGTTTTCTAATAGTGTTAAAGAAAGACAAATGACTAGTTTGTATAAGAGAAGGGATCATTAAGGGTAAAAATGAAATTTAAGCATAGGAGGGTTTTGAGAGAGAGTATAAATACCCATCGTATGAGCAAGTTAGATCTTGCCCAAGGTGGAGAATACCCAAAGGTAAACTCTCTTTCTCTCTCCTCTTATTTTGTCTCTATTAATTTTTCCTCTTCTCCTTTATTTTTATACACCCACACGCACACACAAGGTGACTGGCTGCCACCTCCACCTCCCACCAACCAGCAAGCGCTGCCAGCGTGGAGGGCAGCAGCAGCCACCTCCCCGTCGTTCGGTTGGGCGGGTTTTTTTTTCTTAAAAAAAGAAAACTCTTTTGTTTTAATTTTTAATCTAGCCTTGATTCAATTATTATTTTTGGGTTTTGTGATGATTTTTATGATTTTTGATTATGATTATTATGTATATAATTTCAGATTTAGTTTTTGAATTAAAAATTCTCAAATTGAAAACCCTAGGTTTCTAAATTAATGTATATTGATAGAAATTGATTGTAGTTGATTGGAATTATTGAAATAGGTGTTTTTAAACATAATTACAAAAATTTTACATGTTTTTATAAAGCTGGTTAGAATTATGTTTCTTGAAATGATTTTTAGTTACACATTAATTGGGAATAAAAGTAGGGGATTTAAATTAATTTTCAGCTTATTTTAGAGGGTTTATAAGTGATTTAAAGAGTGTATATATTGCTGAAAATTTATATTGAATATGTAATAATGTCTCTTTGTTATTTTGGGTTGTAGGAGATTTCCAAGAGAGTGATTTCGTGTAGTCGTTGCAATTTTGAGATCATATTTGAGGTACGTTCGCGTACTCGTAATTATTTAAGCATATAGAAGCATGCTAGACTTTGTTTAATTACTTCCAACGTAGTATCATGATAGGTATTGGTTGGAATTGTTGATTGGATTGATGTTGGTGATTGATTTGTGAAGTATGAATTATTTGTTGGGAATTGATGATTGGAATTAATTATGTTGGCATGTTGAATATGAACCACACTTTTATTATTGGCATGATTGAGAGCATTTTAAATCAACTAAATGTTTAATTTGGTTTGGGATATAAAAAGGAAATTTTATGATGGTTCATATAATTTTTATTGATTCTTTAAGCATGGGAATTAAGCTATTAAGTGTCTTACAACACAAGAAAAAAGGTATTGCGGTGCCTCAGTGCACTTAAGGTGTTCTAAACACCGAGGGATAGGATTTGCGGTGCTTTATGCGCTTAAGGTGTTATTTAACGCTGAGGTAGTTTAAAAAGGGTTCAACATTAAATTTATGTGGTCACTAATTATTCAAGAATTAAATTGGTGTATTTGATTGCTTGAATGATTTATTATGATTGATTTGTTATGGTTTGAGAGTCATCACCAAGTCTAAAAAAATATGAAAATAACGTAAAGTGAAAGAGATTACGCACCAAAACTCTTGGAACGTATATACCTTGAGTATGAACATATGGGGGGAGTTATGCGACTTTCTATTTTACCATAACTTCTACTGGGAGTACAGGACGTTGTATTTTCCTTTATTTATTTTATGCGCAGGACGTCCAGTCACTTTCATGTGGCATTTGCCTACCCGGTTAGCTCCCGGTATAGTTTACCTCAATTTATTTGGGGCAGGGAATTTGTGGGAAACCCGTTCGATGCGTAATCAAATTAAATAAGCAATTTATTTAGCTATTTATTGGCTGGTTGTGTTGTATGCTTGTAAACAGGTGTAACAAGGTAAGTTGTGTGTTGATAGTATGAAAGCTTGTTAGTGTGTACTGTTTACGCTTATGTACTCAGCTTTGCTGATTGTGTGTTTGTATATTTGTTTGGCCTTGTCTTTATCTTGGTCCTACGACGACCCATTTCTAATGGCGAGTAGTGGGGGCAAAGTAAAGAGAAGCTTTTCAGGTGAGAAGCATATTAATGATGGGCATGAGTGAAGAGCGAATCATGCTTAGTTTATATAAGGATATGATGTGGTTTATTGTTTGATTATTATATATTTTGCTTGTGAGACTAACACAAAGGTTTTTAAAATTCGTTTTGGGTTTTGATAAGGGCCTATAATGGTTCCAAGTTGTAGGTTGACTTCTTTTAACTTGGTTTGACTTTACTTTCGTTTGGTTTGACTTTTAAGTTAATTTGTTTTGAATGATGTTTTAAGGGAGTCTTTGATAATTGCCTTAGCCGTTTTAACGGTGGCGGTAATGTCTTAGAATTTCTTATTTCGTATTTTAAAAAGAGCAAAATAGGTATTTTAAAGGAAAGGAAGGTTTGCAAACTCATCAAACTTTTTCATCTTAACATGGTCTGAGTAAAACCTATCCCTCATGGCAGTTTTTAATGCATCCCAATTAAATCCATGTTGGGCGGTTAAATTAGCTTGGGAAGTGGACCACCAAATGTTGGCCTCACCTTGCAGGTAGTAGGTTGCTGCAGGGACCCTCTCATCCTCAGGGCATCCTATAGCCTCAAAAAGCTTATCAAATGTCCTAATCCAATTTTCAAGCACACTCGGGTCCTATTTTCCCTGAAAGTAAGGTGGTTTCCTACTTGCAACTTTCTTAGCCTAGTCAACATCATTGTGGTTGTTGTTGTTGTTGTTTATAATTCCAGCACCAAGAGTCTTATTCTGTTGAGTGAGTTGTTGCAAGCTCTCAGCTAGTTCAGCGTTGGTGGGTGGATGACGACCTCTTCCAGACATGTTTTGTTTCCCGCATTAACCATTGGTGTAATCACCAATCGTATATATTATTATTCCTTTCTACTTGATATGCATGCTGATCTAAATAAATACCTAACTCAGCAATGAATAAATTACATAGTAAAACGACTACAATTTATTCATATCAAACATTCAAATAAATTCCAGCCATAAAAAGTAACACAACTCAGAATTAAAAAATAAAAAGGGTTCCTACTTATTCCTAAAATAACTCGAATAGACTTAAATCTAAAATATCAATTTAGTCTTGTTCATCCTCAAGGGGTTCTTCCTGTCCCATAGGTTGTTCTTCATCTAAAGGATTCGCTTGGACATACTCATCTTCTTCGTCCCTCTCAAGTTCTTCATTACTCAATGTAAGTGGGTCTGCATCAATTACTTCACCCATCTCATAATCTTGTTCCAGTTCAGATTCTCGCCATGCTTCTATTAACCTCGTTGCCACAAAGTTGAGTGTA